AGGACTGGGAAAGGAGAGAAAACCATTACACTAGGGAGGCAGGAAGGATTAATTCAGCCATGTACTTCTGATCCTTTTGAGTCTCGGTTAGATTTTTTGGAGAATATACTGTAGCTTCTAGTGTTATTATAATTTGAAATCGTTAAGGCTTGATATACTAAAAAAGTAGGAAATGTTAACTTATCAACGTAATTGTTTATTTTTGTGTTGTTGGTACGGGAATGGTGTGTTTGTTTAATCATTCAATAATCCGCAAACAAAAATGCTTTGCTGTTGTTTTTTTTTAATTGGGTATTCAAAGTGAACAGAAATTCACCACATTCACTAAGCAAAGTAAACATTCTCTGTGTCTATAGTTAATACACCCCAATGATATTGGGTATTTAACCACTTGCCCTCCAGAGGATTTACCCCCCTTCCTGACCAGGCCATTTTTTGCGATATGGCGCTACGTTACTTTAACTGCCAATTGCGCAGTCATGCAACGCTGCACCCAAAGGAAATTTACGTTCTTTTTTCCCCCACAAATAGAGCTTTCTTTCGGTGGCATTTGATCACCTGTGGGTTTTTTATTTTTTGTGCTATAAACTAAACAAAAAAAAACCCTGACAATTTTGAGAAAAAAACTATATTTTTTTACTTTTTGCTATTAAACATGTCCAGTAAAAAAATTGTAAAAATCAAATTTCATCATAAATTTAGGCCAAAATGTATCCTGCTACATGTCTTTGCTAAACAAAATCCCAATACATGTAAATTAATTGCTTTACTTTTTACTAGTGATGGTGGCGATCAGCGACTTCTAGCAGGACTGCGAGGCTGTGGCGAGCATTCTGACACAGGGGGGAACTGACTTGGTGTCACTGACATCCCCAGTGACACCAATACAGTGATCGGTGCTAATAAAAAACACTAACACTGTACTAATGGCACTGGGCAGGAAGGGGTTAACATATGGGGCAATCAAAGGGTTAACTGTGTGCTGTGTGTGTGTGCTTTACACTGTAAGCACACTGCTTTTTATGGCTCTGTTATGCAGAGCCATACAAAGCAGTGTGCTGGAGCTGACGGGAGAGATCTGTGTTGTTTATATACAGGTCTGTCCCCCATTGAAGCAACAAAGTGATCACCAGGTTCCGGGGCCCGGTGATTGACAGCCGAGGCTGCGAATGGTGGCGCAAGTAGGGCGCGCATGCTCCCCCTACTCAGAACTGCAAAATCAGGTATATATACATGATTTTGCACACCCGTGCTGCCCTGTAGCAATATTTCTGCTATAGGGTGGTGCGGAAGCTATTAAAGAAAAAAAACAATGAAAGGGTTTTCTCCAGGTACTCCAGTTTCCTCCCACACTCCAAAAAGACATGCTGGTAGGTTACTTGGCTCCTGTCTAAATTGGCCCAAATATGTGTATGTATGAATGTGAGTTGGGTACCTTAGAATGTAAGCTCATTGAAGGAAGGGGCTGATGTGAATGTACATTATATATGTAAAGCGCTGTGACGGAACTATAAGTACCTGTGATTAAAAAAGAAAGGAAGAAAGGATAAGTAGATCGGTTAATTGATTTAGTCTTAGCCTTGCAATAGAGAATACGTGATTACCACAAGATGGCACTCACGCTCTTTGCAGTCTCCTAACGCAGAAGAAAAATCGCATTTGCGCTTCTGTCAATATTTTATTGTTTATCTAAACATTTTAAAAAGAAGGAGGCTATTTTACAGGCTCTTTACATTTAAATGAAGCCAGTTTAACTATATTCTTAAACAGTAAAAGTTAGGTGATTGTAGGAGCGGTATATAAGTTAGAAAATTATATTACTGAAATTACAGGAAAAAAAAAAACTTCTTATAGACTGCAAAGGCAAAGCGGCTTGGCAAAATATATAATAGAAATGTTCTTTTTTATTTATAATGCATTTACTTTATTCATTTGTATAGTGCAGACATATTTGTACCACTAGAGAGGCTGAATCCCATTCATTTAGTGCTCATCAAATGCGGGTGCTAAGGTGCCAGACAGACGGATGGCACCATCACAAAATCAATACAAAATGTCTTCAGCACCCCATACGATACAAACATAGGGGCATTTATTTCACATCAAAGTCCAATGTTCCAGGACCACCAAGGACCCCTTTCTCAGTTAACAGTGCTGGTGGTATTTTAGGCTTTTACAATGGGGAGCACACACACACACTATAGACAGCGAGCTCAAAACATGAAACAGTATTTACCACTTTAAGATTAGCATTAAAATAGCGCATAGTATTTTCCAAAAAATTTTCGCTATTCATGAAAAAACACTTGTAAAATAAGGCATTCGTTATTCCTTTGAAATCTGCTATACTTATCCCATGAAACCGGCTGCTATTTTATCACACAACATCCTATTCAGTGAGTGTTATTTCATTTCTGGTGGACACTTCTGAGGGACCTTGAAGAAGACGGAATAATGGTGGGGAGTCTGAAAGAAAATCCCAATATCCTAGAGCTTTTTTAACCCCTTCTAGCCCTTTAAGGGGTTTCTGAAGTGGGGCGGGGTTTTAGCGTCATATGACTGCCGTGATTGGCTGTCACAGCAGTCACATGATCAGAAAGGTCCTGATCGCAAGGTGAGATTGGGACCTTTCCATGGGATGCTGACACATGTGCTGGGAGCACACAGGACACGCGCTCTCAGCACATGTTTGTTTACAAATGTAATGCAAATATGTGGCCGCTCGCGGTCAAGGCCCTGCCGCCAAGCAGCAGTACATTTGCATACGCTCGGCGTAAAGAGGTTAAAAACACTTCCAAGCCCCGCCCATTGGGCTGTGGTGCCTCCTTACTCCTATTTTATCACACAACATCATATTAAGTGGGTGTTATTTCTTTTCTGGTGGACACTTCTGAGGGACCTTGAAGAAGGAGTGATGGTAGGGAGTCTGAAAGAAAATCCCAATATCCTAGATCTTGTAGCACAAATGGCGTTTTTTTTAACCTCTTCACACTGGCGCCATCTGGCCCTTTAAGGGGTTTCTGATGCGGGGCGGGGTTTTAAGGTCATATGACCGCCGTGATTGGCTGTCACGGCACTCACATGATCGGAAAAGTCCCAATCGCAAGGAGAGATCGTGACCTTTTCCATGGGACGCTGATACATATGCTGGGAGGGCACGCGCTCTCAGTACATGTTTGTTTGCAAACGGTACAAAAATATGTGTCCACTATCGGTCAAGGCCCTGCTGCCGAGATGCAGTATATTTGCCTACGCTCGGCGTGAAGAGGTTAAAACACTTCCAAGCCCCGCCCATTGGGCTGTGGTGCCTCCTTACTCCTATTTTATCATACAACGTCATATTCAGTGGGTGTTATTTCTTTTCTGGTGGACACTTCTGAGGGACCCTGAAGAAGAAGGAATGATGGTGGGGAGTCTGAAAGAAAATCCCAATATCCTAAATCTTCTAACACAAATGGCGCTTTTTTAACCCCTTCATTCCGGCGCCTCCTAGCCCTTTAAGGGGTTTCTGACTGACGCGGGCGGGATTTAGGCTGTCACAGCACTCACATGATCGAAAAGGTCCCAATTTTCTTCCAAGCCCCGCCCATTGAATTGTGGTGCCTCCCTACCAAACATATTTCAAAGATTCCTTAAATATCACATACCTGGACTACTACTTATTTAAAGCATCCATGGATTTATTTACTTTAGTGAACTGACTTTAATGCTGTGTTATGCAGTATTTACCAAGTGTTTTTGCTTATTGAGGTAAATACTGTATTGAGGGATAGTGAACTGACATTTTCAATATCGCATGCGATATTTGGAATAAATGTGTCACACAACCCAAACATCGCATTGTCGGTAAGAGCCAGTTAAAGTGGGTATATCATTAAAATTCACACTTTACATAAATCAATAGGGCATTTGTCAGCATTACCAAATCACTATATTATTATTTTGATTGAAAAGTTAAAATTAGAAAAACACTGGTTAGAACAGCGGTCTTTAAACTACAACCTGCTGCTCGCCATTATTAGAAAGTCTACACTCACTGGCCACTTTTTAGGTACACCTTGCTAGTACCGGGTTGGATCCCCTTTTGCCTTCAGAACTGCCTTATTCTTCGTGGCATGGATTCAAAAAGGTGTTGGAAACATTCCTCAGATATTTTGGTTCATATTGACATGCGTTACTATTGCCTTTCTATCATCTCAAACCAGTCTGCCCATTCTCCTCTGACATCAAAAGGCATTTTTGTTCACACAACTGCCACTCACTGGATATTTTCTAGGACCATTCTCTGAAAACCCTGGAGATGGTTGTCAGTGAAAATCCCAGTATATCAGCAGTTTTTTAAATACTCAGACTAGCCCATCTGGCACCAACAACCATGCCACATTCAAAGTCACTTAAATCCCCTTTCTTCCCCATTCTAATGCTCGTTTTGAACTTCAGCAAGTGTGGTCTTCACCACATCTAGATGCCTAAATACATTGAGTCGCTGCCATGTGATTGGCTGATGAGCAGTTTGTGTTACCAAGCAATTGAACAGTTGTACCTAATAAAGTGGCTGGCGAGTGTATATGAAGAAAGTCTATTGTCTTCAGTCAGACTGAATGTAGAAGTGAGAGGAGGTAATCAGTAAGCAGAGCCTGCTTATATAAGAAGCAAATCTAGCTGCCCCATTGCACATATATAATGACATGACAAGCTATCCAAAGAAACAAGGTTTTAAAAGATATATTTTGTTGACCTTTTTAATGCTTTCTTTTAACTGACCATTTTCACATATATGTCTATAAAACATAAAAAAAAGACTACAGGCTATCTTTAAAGTTGAGCTATGCGCAGACTATGCACACTAACACAGTTACATATTCTGAACACTCAATTTAAAGCTCTGTAAGGATTGACATGGCTGATAAGGACCATACACTGCCAAGAATCAGCAGTTTACTGTGCTGGGTGTTTGCAATCAGTGACCAGCAGCCTGTACAAATTAATGACAAGTTGACAAGTGCTCAAGGGCGGACTGACCATTTGGAAACTCGGGCACTGCCCGAGGGCCCGGGGTCAGTAGGTGGCCCCATGAGATGCCCCTGGTACATTTTTCATAGGCTTTTTTTGAGTTTGGGCAAGGACACAGGGGCCCCATGATCCCCTATTGCCCGGGGGCCCCATGAGTTATCAGTCCACCCCTGCAAGTGCTGCAGCTGTTACATGCAATTAGCATCAGGTGAGATGAAAACTGTCTGCGTCCAGGGCCTCTCATCTGTTCATCTGCTAGCTGAGCCCCCTGTCACATCATTGACTTTACCCAGGGCACTCCCCTGTTCCTCTAGTGTCTGCCTTTGCATCTAAGGTTCCCCTGCTTTTAGTGTCACCTCTGCACTCCAGTGACCCCTCTACTCCTGTGCAATCCAGTGACCCCAGTACTCCTATGCACTCCAGTGACCCCAGTACTCCTCTGTGCACTCCAGTGACCCCTGTACTCATATGCACTCCAGTGACCCCAGTACTCCTCTGTGCATCCAGTGACCTCTGCACACCTCTGCTTCCAAGTGACTCCTGTACCCCTGTGTCTCCAGCAACACCTGTGCTTCCAGTGTCACCCAGTGACCCCAAATCATTTATTTATACCCAGTGACCACAGAGCATGTGGTCTTAATCTGTGACCCCTGAGTGTCTCCAAATAACACCAGTACTTCTTGTGTCACCTTATGGCCCCTCTGTATTCCGGTGTTCTCAAATTCCTGTTTAAATGTATTTCTGGTTACTGACTTCAGTTTCATAATTTCACGTTTGCTCTTTATTCTAACTTAACGTTCATAATGAAATAGCAGACATGGTACTGCACGTGGTCAGAATAGCACCAGCTGCACAGCTCCCGATGTACACAGGACAGTGTCTTTTGGCACACTGACTTATGAAGGTCAGTGCTCCCTGTGACTGTGTGTGCAGTCTTGCGCTGCCATCTGTTGGCATGTTACAAAACTAATCTTAAAACATTTTGATACCACCTCGTACTGTCTGTTAAGAATATGTTAACACTTTAATGCCCATAGTTTGGGCTCAGGTACAGTTTAGGTATTAATGAAATAAAAGGATGAATGTAGTTATTGTGGACAAAACAGCCAGTTGACACTACAGGCCTCAATTGTACCTAATGTTGCTTAGTTATTGTTTGCCTATTTATAGCAGAGTAATTTTAAATTGAAACACAGCAAATACAGTCTATTTCATTCCAACCACTTCCTTAACTTCTTCGCACCTACCATGCCCAGCCCTCCCAGGGCACAGAGCAAGAGAAAATGGATTATGCTATCAATAACAAGCGCAGGGTGATCCGACTGGTGCAGCTGTGGGCCAGCCTGTATGGGGACTTGTTACGGGAAGATGAAGTCGCTATGGCTTTTCTTGAGGTGAGTGGTTGTTTCATTTTTTTGGATTACCATTTACATGTTTGTAGTGGAAATTTCTGAGATCCATTAATCTGAACCTCAGCCTTATGTTTAATCTTGCTCAGTAGTACAAGTTCCTTTACTGAAAATGCTTTCTCTGATTTCACTGCACACTTTCAGCTTCATCATTTGTGCGTCAAAGCCACAGCAGGGGTGGTCAATTCATTTTCCCAAGGGGCCACATGAGAAAGTGGGACTGTTGTGGAGGGCAGGATCTAATTCTGCTCAATATTCATTTTAGACCTGGGAAGGTCTGTAAGTATATATATATAAAAACAAAAACCTGGCCCTAAGAATAATAGGTACAACTGATCATGAAGTAGGTTTCCTTCAGACAGGTGGTTGGCGGTGGCAAAAACGGGCAGCTGAGACATGGTTTTGCCATCCACCCAAACTGTAAAATAATCCAAGGCTTGAAACATTTTTTTTTCATGGGGTGTAGAGTTTGACAAGTGGCAGTACTTGTCAAAATTGCCAATTGAGTTAATTGATGAAGCTGACTGGCTCAGAGAGCCATGTTGACATTGGAGGCATTGTAGGCTGGACAGGGACAGTCGAAGGGCCAGATGTGGCCCTGGGGCCACAATTTCATCAGGTCTGAGCTACAACAATTCAGATATGAAAATGAAAGGGTTTAATTTTCAGATTTAATTAGCTTGTTGATAAAGAGGAGGTAAAGGAAAGGAAGGCAAAATATAAGCAGATTAAACTTCAGATTTAAAGTAGATGTCAAAGATATAAAACATTTTCATCTTTGCAAGGAAAATTAGCATGCTAATTGAATCACTTTCTTCCTATAGTTACCAAATGTGCATTTATACCTTTTTCTCTAGGTAAAGCAGTGGTCATGTGACCACCAAAGATAACAGATGCACTGATGGGTTTGTACGCTTCAGTACATTTGTTAGTGATGTAAATATAAGGGAGATGAACTACCTCTCCCATGATCATTTTCTCCAGCTTCCAGAACTGTTGGTGGAGTGTCAGACCTGAAAGCCTTATGCAGGCCATAGATGTTTCGTTTCGTCCGAAAAACTGTTTTGTTGCCACCAATGATTGTGAAAATCGTCTGTTTTTCGCAAATTTTCCAGCATGACTGATAAAAGAAATGAACCGTAAAAATCGCCAATGCCATTGCCCCACTAACAGTGCGAAAATCAGCCGATTATTCTTTCGGACGAAATTCAGCCGATAAACGAACCGTCTATGGCCTGCATTAGAGAGGCAGAGAGGACAGGGCAAGCCATGACAAGGCAGTAGTTGGAGTGGCCTCGGCGCCTGAGAGCCACCGGTGTTGCATGCAGCCAGCTGTACAAATGAATGACAGCGTACATCTGTGCGTGGGTATATGCAGTTCCAAGGCTTAACATGCGTATTGACCGCGTCCAGGGGCAAAGGTGTGCATGCATGCTTTATGCTTGGAGCTGCGTATACCCACTTAAACTTCATCCTGGGGGCAGCACAGTGGCTAAATGGTTAGTATTTCCGCCTGGCAGTACTAGGGTCATTGGTTTGAATCCCAACCATGACACCACCTGCCTGGAGTTTGCATGTTCTCCCTGTGCTTGCGTGGTTTCCTCCAGGTACTCCAGTTTCCTCCCACACCCCAAAGACATGCTGGTAGGTGAATTGGATCCTGTCTAAATTGGCCCTAGTATGTGTATGTATGAATGTAAGTTATGGACCTTAGATTGTACACCCCTTGAGGGTTAGGGACTGATGTGAATGTACAATATATAAGTAAAGCACCATGTAAATTGATGGCTCTATATAAGTACCTGAAATAAATAAAAAAAAAAAAAATCCTGTAATTCATTTCTACAGGTGGCTGTACACAACACCTGTGCCTCCCAGCCACCAAAATACAACTGTATTTTATGTTAAATGCCCCAATACACACGTGTGCCTAGACTCTTACACAGCCCTATCACACAGCCCAGCCAAGTGCATGACACCACTAACTGTCAAGGAATACAGTGGTGTCTTGTCTCCTCCCTCAGGCTGCTGATTGGACAGTAAGTCCCCATTCACATCTGCACAATGCGCTTATGTGTGTTTTTTCCATACTTTTTTGTGCATTTGTCATGCGACAGCATAGGGCTGTCCTACAAGTGACAAACGTAGCTCCTGCACCTTTTTTTGGCAGTGTGTGCCTTCCTGGCACATGAAGGTGTGAATGGGGCCTAAAAGAATGGTAGCAGGGTTAGCAGGTCAGTCCTCTGCTCACTCTGCTCTCTCCTCATATCAGCATGATCCTTTTCTGCACATTTGCATGCAGCCCACCTGATGGGCTCCCAGTTCAGCCCCTTCTTCCCTAAGTCTTAGCAATAGGAAGAAGGGTCAGCCACACACCGGAGGTTAGATGAATATAGTGTATATTTATTGATCCATAGGACACACAAAACACCAGGACATGAATACAGGACCTGTTAACGCGTTAACACGATCTCGTGCTTAATCATGATTAGTGCTGTGGTATAGGGAATTGCAAAAGGCAAAATCATATATTTAAAGAAGAATTCCAGGTATAGCATTTTTCCAGCATTTTGTAGCATTTGTTCTATAGTTACGTTGTTCCTGATTGGACCCATATCACTATGCATATACTACACCTATGGGATCCCTTCTAGGGGCTAGAATTTGCTTTAGTAGGCCCCTACTTCTTCAGTGATCTCCACTTGTTTTCAGGTTCTGTTCCCTGCTGCATTCTGAACACAGGAGTTCTTGCCACTTGGCTTGGGTGCTATTCAGAGAATGCTTTGGATTTTCTCAATGAATGCAAAGCATTTTCTGATTGGATGAGGTAGAGAGTTTGAAGTCACTGTGCCGCCTCACCACCATCTGGTCCAATCAGAGAATGCTTTACAGTACATCCATTGAGAAAATGCAAAGCATTCTCTGAATGATGACTGTGCCGAGTGGCTGACCTCCTGTGTTCTTGATGCAGCAGGGCAGCTGCTCAGCTTGGACCTGGAAGAACACTGCAGTATCTATTACAGTGATTCCCAGCTTTTAGAGGGATTCCACAGGTATGGTACATATGTATATATACCGTGGTCCAAGCTGTCCATACATGGAATTCTTTTTTAACATTGGTTGCATGTAAAAAAATAAATTCAGTGAATTATTAATGAATGAAGAGCTCTTAGTGTTTTTACATCTTCCTGGATTGTAGCTTTAAGAGGTTTTGACAGCTAAAAAATACACTTGCACGTGACCAATGTCCTGATAGCCAGGTCAAGATGGTTTCATTAGCAGGAAAGATTCTCCCTGAATATATATCGATTCCATTAGGTCCCTGTTAGAAGTGAATGAGAGGACTGGAAGAATGCAGGCGATGTCTGCATCAATACCAGGTCCTCGTACTAATGTGAATCCAGTGGGAGAATTTGTATATCTTCTCCCACACTTCATTACCAGCTTTTAGAAATGTCAATATGTTGCAATTTTCCTTAAGAGACTTTACTATACAATAGCTCCCAACTAAAAATATACATAATGATTGTGATAAGTGGGCAAGTCATTTAGAAGCATGATTTTTACACAGAACATGGATTTTACAGGCTTGTCTCCATGAGATGCACGGCTAACCTGCAATTACATCGCACATGGCTGTTATTAGAGGGAGAGAGCAATCATTTTATATAGCACTTGCATCCAACTCGCTTTACAACTACTAGCTCATAGCCTATTAACCAATTACCGTTTTACTTTATACCC